AGGCCGATCATTAGGGTGCTGACAAAGTAGTAAAGAGCGCGGTCGAGCTCCGCTAGATGTCCTACTTTAGGCTTCTTGAGGTAGGTGGCGAGCTGGCTTGCGGAGTATGAGAGGTCGGGGGCGACAGGTGACGGCTGCGAAGAGAAGACATCCCAACTTCTTTTGGTAGTCTCGTATGCCGGCGAGCTTAAGTAGAGCGAAGCTTCCTTTGTCGTTCCCTGCCGTGTATCGCTATGGCGTGGAGATGGCTGTCAGTGTGAGCGTAAAGCGTTTGGTGATAGTGTCGGCATATTTCTCGGCACTGAGGTAGATCGCATCCTCCTCTTCCCGGATGTTGAGGCTGAGGTACTGAGTGACGGTATATGAAACTATGAGCGTGAGATCTTGATGCAGCTCCCCTTCGAACCAGGTAGTGATGCCGTCAGTTGAGCCGATGTAAAGGAGATCATCCCCGTAGACGATTAGTAGGATGTAGTCGTCGTTTTTTGTGAGCGGTACATGCCTTGATCGTGCGGTAGTTGCTTGAAGCCGATGCGGATGAGGCGAGCGTGCAGGTACTGTTGCCACAGTCGTGGAGCCTGCTTGATGCCGTAGAATAACTTGAGTAGCTGGCAGACTTGGTTGGGTTCTCTGTGGGAGCCGTGCGGGTAGTTTGACGAAGATTTCTGCATGAACAGGTGCGTAGAGAAACGCGTTCGCGCGACGTCAATTTGTCGTAGCTTCTTCTTCTTCATGGTGGCGATTGCGAGGAGAATGCGTAGTGAGGTGTGGCAGCTAACCGGAGCGAAAGTTTCGGTGAAGTCTCGTCCGTGTTCTTGGTCGAAGCCGCGTACAACGCAGCGAGCTTTAAATTTGTCAATGGTGCCGTCAGCCTTTGTCTTCACACGGAAGACCCACTTCCCGGTGAGCAATGTCTTGTTCCGTGCCACGCCGATAGGAACCACTTTCCACGTGTTGCGTTCCTCCAGTGCCTTCAGCTCCTTGTCCATGGCTTCGCGCCACTTTTCCTTATGTCCCCCCCCCCCAGAGCCTGCTGAACTGTCGCAGGCTCTTTAGGAGTGGCGGTGCCGTGGACTGCGGTGGCGAGTCCGAGAATCTGCAGTCCACTCTGTGAGTAGCGGGGAAGATTTACGTCCTCGGGATAAGCTCATTCATCTCCCGCTTCTGGATCAGGTATGAAGTTGGTCCTACTCGTTCTGCTTTGTTGGTGTTGACTGTCGCAGGTGTTACGTAACCGTTGTCGGCGAAATGGTAGAAGGTTTTGGCGTTGGCACTTTTGCAAGGGTTGTCTTCATCCATGGGAACGTCGCCGGAGCAGAACGGAAGAGGTCCGGCTTCTTCTGATGCGTTGTCCACATTCTTCTCGTCCCAGTCAGCTTCGTCCGCTGCTGAGGCAAAGGCTCGATCACCGTGAAAGCCACCCGTGGGATCCTGGTCTTCTTGTAGGCTGGCAAGGTATGTCTGGAGCGTGAGCCGTTCGTAGAAAATTACATCACGTGCTGCTACTGTTTCCTTGGAGTGGACGTCGAATATTTTCCACGCGTTGTAGTTCTTTTCGATTCCCAGGTGTAGTTCCCACTGTGCTCGTTGAGAAATTCGGCTCGCTCGTGCTGCTGGGGGTCGGTACTGTACCATGCATCTGAATACTCGTAACATTTTTGTGCTGCCCTGTTTCCTTGTCCATAGCAGATGCGGTGATGCGTTGTTCGGAAGCGATGATGACGAGAGCAGGTTGTGCAGCATGACGGCGTGGTCCATTGCCGCAGGTCACTGGTGGTTGGGTAGCCGCGTGCCACGTAGCAGTTTGTGCATGCTGTTCTGCAAGGTCCTGTTCATTCTTTCTGCTACACCTTGCTGCTGATGGGCGTAGGGAAGGGAGATGAGCCGCTTGATCCCCCTTTCCGCCAGGTACTGCTTGGATCGCTGAGAGGTGTATTCTCCTCCTCCGTCTGAATGGAATCTTTTCAGTTGCACGCCCGATTCACTCTCTGCTACTCGTAGCCAGGCAACGAAGGCTGCGAATGCCATGTCGCGGTTAGGGAGGTTTAGGTGCTAGACGTAACGGGTGGCGGCGTCGATGAAAGTGATTGTATAGTTGTATATTACTTGTCCTGGTTCCCGATTGAACAGGATGTCGCTATACACCTTCTCGAGTGGTGCGTGCGCTCGGGTTGTGATGAGACGCAAACGGTCGATGTGGTAAGTCACCTTCAGGGCAGGTGAGGCACGTTCCGCGTACTCGTTGAAGTTCTCGTCCGTCGGTCAGTTGGTGAAGTTGACGATGGCGTCGCTGTCGGCGGTGCCAAGGTCAGGAACGAAATCAAGAACGAAGACATTGTTCTTGAGGACCGCCTTGCCGATTTAGAGTCCTCCTCTCCCGTGATACAGTTTGAATTCTTGGGTGGTGCTGTCTGCTTCGAGGTAAATCCCTTTCGCCATTAGCTGACTGACGCTCAGTAAGTTGTAGCCGAGTCCCTATGTGATTAGTACTTTTGACATCTGCAGTACAACGTTTGTTTCCCTTGACTGAAGTTGAACTACACCTTGTCGTCGTTTTTGCAAGTTCTGATTGTTGGCGACTGTAATGACAACTTCGCGTTGAAGTTGGTGTTCTCGTTGAACGAAGCGTCCTGAGGAGCACATGTGCTGTCCGCAGCAACTGTTCAAGAACCATGTGTCCCTTCCGGATGGTTCGCTTTGGGCGATAGCGGCGTATGCCAGGTTCGGCTGGCTGAAGTGACTTGCGGCAGGGTGTGGTTTCGTCGAGTTGTTTTCCGGTGAGTAGTGTGGTGGTGAATCGGTGATGCAGGAGTCACTCAGCTTGAAGGTCGAAGTTGCCGCTGTGGAGTTGTTGACTGTTGACGATTCAGGCAGTGCGTACGCGGGTGGCCTGAAGTTTTGCAGATGTGGCAGAACGGAGGTACTGGCCTCGGCTGTTGCTGCCGGTTGTTGTTGTTGTTGTAGCGTCGCTGAGTGTGGAACGTGAATTCCGGTGCTGATGTCTTCTTTTGTGTCGTTCTTCTTGCAGGTCCATGTCTTGCTGCTCGACGTGGATCTCGGCGCAGAGCGCGCTGCTTCTGAGATTCTTCTGTGAGCTCGGAGAATAGCCTTTGTGGCGCGCCATTGAGGACCGAGGCCGCCGATGATGACTCTCACGAAGGCGTCTTCAGAAATCGACCCTCCGCATCAAAGAAGCTTGTCGCGCAACTCGCATCATCGACTGATGTACGCCATTCCTTTCTCCCCTCGTTTCATTTCAATCGTTCACAATTGCGCCATTAACCGACTTTGACTTACGCTGTCTGTTGCTTGACACAAGCTCTTCAAATGGTTGTACGCGAGCTCCGCGGAGCTGCCGTAACCTCGGTAAGTCCTTATGTTCAGCTGTTGAGTCGGGGTGATGTTCCTTAGTAGGATCGTGTACGCCATCATTGACTGATAGGTGTACTGCTGCTTCTCGTACTGTGTGCCGTTTTTTGGGTATGGCAGAGACCCGTCGAAGAACCCGAGTATGTGCGCGCCTTTCATCATCAGCTCGAACTCGAACGACCAGGTGAAGAATTCCTTTCCATCGAAGGGTCTTGACGTCTGCATCTTCAGAACGTGTATGAACTGTGACTAAACTTGTAATGCGTCCAGTGATTTTTCTTGTCCAGGTGAAGCTGTGGGTGTGGCGTAAAGCTGATGGACCCGCGCTCGTACGGAGCAAAGTTGGGCTGCTGTTGTTGATTTCCTCGTGCATATGATGAGCCGTCGAGACTCATGGGTGTTGCTCCGTTGTTGTTACTGTTGTGTGACTACGCAGGTGCCGATTGCTGGTGTTGCTCGTAGAAGGACATGAAGGAGAAAAACTTCTCCATCATGCTCTGGTCGAAGTCTGCAGGTTGATTCGCGGGAGTCTCGGTAGATGTTGCTCTGGGTCTTGTTGCCGTGCCCTCCTCTGTCTGTAGGCCAGAGGCAGGAGGTGGAGTAGGAGTAGGGCCCTGGGAGCCGTTGGAGTTGCTCCTTTCCTTTTGTGTAGGCATGCTGATTGATGTTGTCGGTGTAGAAGTTGAATTCCCCTTGATTGCTCTCATACCATGTTGGGCTGAAGAAACCCTTAGGATCTTTGCAGGGGTGAACTCTGGGTAGAGTTGGTGTAGTAGCGGAAGCGTTAATAAAGAGTTGTGAACCACCTTGCACTAGTATGTGAGGGCAAAATAAGTTAACTAAAACAAAGAGATACATGATTGTATGAGAGTACAAGGAATACGAAGAGATACGATTATAACTACTTTACTGTTGCTGTTGCGGTTCGATACAGTGACGACTCGGGCAACTACTCTGTAGCGAGTCAGTTGTGTGTCCTTGCTGTCGTGCTGTACTTGTCAGGTTCAAAGGTCGCTGACCTTTGACTTTCGCGTAACCTCTAGCAACCGCTCAACCTCCGAGGGTTGACTCGCCGGTGCTTTGATATACTTCGCTTCGCTTCTGACTTGGTGTTTCGACACGACAGAGGCGCTTAGGACCGATTGTTTCCAACACACACAAGTCATGTTTCAACCTTCACAAATTGCCACAAAACAGAAAAATGCACACACATTCCCTTCACAAGTTGACAGAAAGAACCCGCAAATGATATTGATACATCCTACGGTCCACACCACATTGTCTGGCTGCTACAAGCTTGGACGAAGCAGCACTACACTGATAGCCCCCATGCATCAGTGCATGTGCTGCTGCATCCAAGCTCCGGCAATAACAACAAGCATGAAACCCCTAGGCTCTTGCATCGATGCCATTGCAACCCCTGCACCACTTGCAAATCTCTTGCGCTTCCCCATATGGTAAAGCCACCTAGTACCGGTACCAGTACCATAACTGAATTGAACTTCTTCTTTGGACCTTGAATACCCCATGCCTGTGCCCGTTCCATGAACCATGCATGCCTCGCATCAAGCAGAATATGAGCCTGGTCCGCCCATACCGCTTCCCATGTTGCCTCCAGGCCCTCCCATCCCTCAGCCCATTCCTCCTCCCATCCCTCCGCCCATCCCTTCGCCCATCCCTCCGCCCATCCCTCCGCCCATCCCTCCGCCCATCCCCCCTCCCCCCATCCCTCCGCCCATCCCTCCCCCCATCCCTCCGCCCATCCCTCCGCCCATCCCTCCCCCATCCCTCCGCCCATCCCTCCCCCCATCCCTCCGCCCATCCCTCCGCCCATCCCTCCGCCCATCCCTCCGCCCATCCCAGGTCCACCCTGGCCGGGTGCTGCCTGCGACCCTGGAGCAAACCACGCTGACCCCATCTCCAAAATGTACTGACCCAAATGGGGCCCCTAAGTGACTTTCGGGCAAGATTGGGGACATTTCGGAAAGTGACCCACAAGGTACTTTTGGAACTGACACTTTAGGCTAATCGAAGGTCAGATTGGCTAACCCACAAGCGACTTTCGGGTCAGGTACGGGTTAGGTACGGGTCAGGTACGGGCCAGATTTTGGC